ACTTTACAAAACTCCATAATACAAAGATTTGAAGTAATTTTCTAATGTTAGAGGAATTGTTTTATTGGCATCGGGTGGATACCCAACTAGTCCCTTTTTATCTAAAAGTTCCAACCAGAAAATTCTTTCTCCCTCAAAAACTCTCAATCTCCAAGCTCATTACCAAGTTGGACAAGCTTAGATTCCAAATATGCACAACTTCCAAACCAATAAATTCTTAAAGTTATGCAATCATTTCTACTGGACTAAAAAATTTATGACATGAAGATGTTATTGAATGTATGACAATGATCAAATGATCCAGCATGCATCCCTATAATAACAAGCACAGACCAATAAACCAAGCCACCCCTCAGCTACTGTGTTATTCTTAAGGAATAATCACTACGCAAGCACTGTAGTTTCCACTCTGTTGCCTTACCACATTTTATAGGAATCAAGAATTTCTAGAAGAAAATTAATTTTTAAGATACAAACAACATGGCATACAATTACATTGTAGTGGTTCACATCACACCGATTCATGGCTCACCTGAAGTAGATTCATCCAGACCACTTCTTACACAGTGATGAGCTTTAGATTCATCAAGCTGGATGGAGAAGTAAGCATTATTGTCACAATATTCTTGTTTACATTGCTCGTCGTGAACCGGATTATCCTTGGCAGTTCCTTGACATCGACTTATTTCACATTCATTAACCTGAAAAATTGTGATACCAAAGCTTAGGATCTCAATCCAATAAGACAAAATTAACAGCCTCATAAAATGCTACCTTTTGAGACTCCAAAAGCACATAATTCCCATTCTCAAACTTGTAATAAAGACCATCCCTACTACTATAGTACCAGTCAGCGTTGGGGTCATGGTAAAATCCAGTACTGCACCAAATGAACACAAAATAAGAATGAAACATAACCAAATTAATAAAAAAAAGTATTTAAAGACAATATCTCAACATGCATAAAAGTCTTAAAAAGGAATATAAAAACTTAAACTGAAGGATTTAAACAGTATTGTAAGATTGGAATGGTAACAGGAACATCGAATTTTGATTCTAATTGTAGGTGATTGTGATGGAGTTACAAAATGAAAAGAAGGAAAAACCTGGCATGAAAGAAGAGCTGGGATGTTTCGTCCCAAACAAAGCAATCACTGCTCTGCAACTCTTTATGATCATCTGCTTCTATTGTTCGCGCCATTTGATTTACTTGTGTCTCCGTGTGTCTAACTTCCAAGAGTTGGAGGAGATTCAAAACTCAGCGTTTTATACCAGACGCGACCAACTAGCCGATGGGAAGATTATGAATCATGCGTCGGCTGGGAAATAGTGTGATTTGCACGTGCTAGTTCTCAAAGTTTTGGGTCCAATGAGTTATTGGGTCAAGGGTGAGCCCACTAAGGAATAATCTCCTTTTTAAGTTTGGGCTCCCAAAACTACTAAGCCCAACTTGTGCTTTTTTATAATATTTTTGATAAAGTTGAAATATTTTTATGGCTATCCATTGTAATTCAATAATGATGGAAATTGCCCATGAACTTGTATACAAAATTTAACATAATGAAGAATAATTAAGAGAAAAAAAATATGAGAATGCAAGAAGGGTACAAAACAAAGGAATGAGCAGCAAGGTGAGCGATTTTGGGCGATTAATTAAGGGATAATGCTATTTGTATAAACTCTTTGTACAAATAGCTTATGCTAATAGACACAAAATAGCTTATTTTAAATCATATTAGTACTTTTGAGATACAACCAAACAACCTAAAGAAATTTCAAATTCCTTATAGTTTTAAATATCTCCGAATCTATTCAAGAAGCATAAGCAACCTTGATAAAAGTGAAGTAACCTTACTTCTTTTTCTTGTTCGTGTAGGTAAAGAACCACTGAAGTTATGAGCTGTAACAAGCACCAAGCAGATTCTGGCTGCAATGGGACAAAAGGCTCTCACAAATGTTTTTACACGCAACACTCGACCTAATTATTGTACTAAAAAGAACACGCATATACATGGAGGCAATGTAGCATGAAGAGAAGATGGCACAACTGCAAAAGAAAAGTAATTTATAGGAACTACACTAGAAGAATTTACTCAGAATGAAAATTAAAAAATCAGTTTTGTTTAGCATCATATAGAAAAAACAAATATATATATATATATAAGAAAAAATTTATGTGAAAACATAACTACTATCTCTAATGCAGACTTAGCAATCATGCTCAGTTGAAGTCCTTCAATCTTTTCTTCAGCATGTCCATAGATTTCTTCCGAGAACTTTGCTTCACATGTCTGCTTGAAAGACTTCCAAAAATCCCATCTGGCGAATCTTTGAACTTTTCACAGATGCTCGCCACTTTCTTATAATCCAAAGCATTGTAGTTCTTCTCCCATATCACAGGATTCATGAAATTCTCTGGCTGACTGCTCAACAAAAGGTTTATCAATTGTCGTGCTTCTATCAAACATCTTCCGAAACTTTCCTTATACATCTCACTCAAACCAGTGTTATGAAACCTCTCATCAGCAAAATTCTCTAGCATCTTTAAGTCATTGTTGACAGCCATGACAGCATTAGCATTAAACCTCTTGACATTGTCACAAAGAAATGCTGCCACAATAGAATTGGAAATATGCTCAAGTGCCCCACTCCCAACCTTATACAAAGCATCCAAAGGCAAAATTTGCTGAGCTGTTGACAGAATTGTGTCAAGGTAAAATATTACCTCATTCATATACTCATTCCCACTCGCGGACGTCTCCTCTGGAGTCCAATTGATATTTTGTGTAAGTTCCATAAACTCGTCTAGCTTGGTGTTCACCAAACTCAGTAGAGCAATATATGCCGCATCTCTAGAAGTCTTCAAGACTACCTTGGCCGTCAAAGTAGCTTGAGGCCTTTCAACTGATCGGACTGGGATCCCACATAGTTGGGCTGCATGTCGGACAAAAAAATCACAAGCTCTTTCAAGAAAAGCTATGTTTGCTGCAATCTGCATGGCTTGAGATACACCAATTGCACCACCATAAATTGTATTAAGCATGACTTCGTTTAACACATCAATCAAGAGTTTGTCCAAATACTTTCTCAAGACATCATAATAATTAGTATGTGTTCCATAAGACAAATAATCAACAGAGCCTTTGATGAATGATCTGACAATGCGGCAGGCATCAGGCACCATTGAGGAGAATGGTGCAATATATGGGAAAGCTGGCATTATATCTGAGGTCTGGAGATGAAACAACAGAACATTATTCTCATAATCAGTATCCTTTTTCATTACCATCTGCTCATAAGTATCATTGGAGAGAGCGTTAGTAATTTGCAGCCGGCACTCTTCAAGAAGAAGTTCATGGTATTTGTCACGGCTCTTGTCCAGCACCTCAAGAACAGCGCCCACTTGGTAACCATACTGTTTAAGAGTTGCACCAAGAAGAGTGACATAATCCTTCACTAGGAGAAGATGTGTTACAGAATCCATATGAGAAAACTGTTCATCCAACACTGATGTCATCTTAGTTACAGCTGTATCCCACATTGTCTCAACCTGATCAGGTAACAAGAGCCCACCAGCAGTCCTTAGGACTCGATCCTCCACAATAAAGTACCCAGCAATTTGAGCCAAAAAGGTTTGATATGATTCAACAAATGGCTGTACTGAAGAGATTTGCAAATCTGAAGTGAGCTGCAATAAACGATTCCTATAATAATATTTACGGAACTGCTCTGGGAGGTTGAGGCAAGCGTGGATGTGATATGCCCGATAAAGTGGTGTGAGATCAAACTTCAAAATGGAATCTTCATCAATCTCCTCGACCTCTAAAGTAAATGTAAAATCTCCAAACCCTGAAAGATTTTGTTCCTCGGCCTTCCTCTGGCGATCCAGCATTTCCTCATCTCTTTGACGAGCTGATGCAGTGCGACCTATTGCTGTTTGTCCAATATCCTTCGCAGAACTCCTAATGTGAACTAACCATTCATTAAACTGACTTGTAACTTTCTTCTCAATATGCAACTTTATTATCGGAATTGTCTTCTCTATCACCATTTTGAGTGCCATAACAGGGATATTCTGCAAGTAATTCTTCTCAATCAGATCAACAGTTTTCAAAGCAGGATAAAACTGCCCTTCAGAAATGTAATTGTTACACTTCGCACAAAGATCCAACACTTGTACACAAATCTTTGTCATTTTAACAGCCCCAGTCACATTTCTTTTAATTGAATAAGATTCTAGAAGCTCCTCAAGTTTGATCAATAGGGCACTCCCAACCTCTTGCAACCTATAATTATCACTTGAGAGATCACTTTTCAGCTCTTCAGCATCAACTAAAACACCTCGAAGCTCATCAACTGCAAGAATGAACTCCTCATAGTGGGTCTTACAAAGCTCCTCAATTTCAGATTCCTTCTTCTTGACAACACTTTTGAGTTGTTGAAGAAGTACTTCAGGCCGTTCCGTTTCAAATGCATGTCTGACAATAGGTCCCAAATCATCCCCATTACCAATTAAAGTTGCAAGGACCAAGTCCTCTCCTGTATCTCCATTCTCAGCTACATTTCTCCTCTTAGTTTTTGCATCCATTATTCCAATGAATCCCTTCAATTCCAAAATCAAATAGATTAAGTCCACAACACCAATAAAGCTCTATATTGCCTATTTTGAAACAACAAGAAAATGAAAAGCATGTACCACAAAACATTTATCTACATATCCAAACGGGTACTTCTGTAACCGGTTATATGGATACCAGATATTAGTGTTAACATATTTCCATTTCCAGCATTTAATATCACCCAAAAACAAATTAAAACTCAAACAAAAAATCCATAAACAGACGGAAATAACCACATTTAAGAAGATTTCAACACACATACCATATTTAAATTTAAATAAATTCATCAATATATTTGACAAAAACAGCACAACAAAAATAGTAAAACGAATATGAAATGGGCATTTCCGAAATGGGTTTTCATAAAAACATTATTCTAATGCAGACTTAGCAATCATGCTCAGTTGAAGTCCTTCAATCTTTTCTTCAGCATGTCCATAGATTTCTTCCGAGAACTTTGCTTCACATGTCTGCTTGACAGACTTCCAAAAATCCCATCTGGCGAATCTTTGAACTTTTCACAGATGCTCGCCACTTTCTTATAATCCAAAGCATTGTAGTTCTTCTCCCTTATCACAGGATTCATGAAATTCTCTGGCTGACTGCTCAACAAAAGGTTTATCAATTGTCGTGCTTCTATCAAACATCTTCCGAAACTTTCCTTATACATCTCACTCAAACCAGTGTTATGAAACCTCTCATCAGCAAAATTCTCTAGCATCTTTAAGTCATTGTTGACAGCCATGACAGCATTAGCATTAAACCTCTTGACATTGTCACAAAGAAATGCTGCCACAATAGAATTGGAAATATGCTCAAGTGCCCCACTCCCAACCTTATACAAAGCATCCAAAGGCAAAATTTGCTGAGCTGTTGACAGAATTGTGTCAAGGTAAAATATTACCTCATTCATATACTCATTCCCACTCGCGGACGTCTCCTCTGGAGTCCAATTGATATTTTGTGTAAGTTCCATAAACTCGTCTAGCTTGGTGTTCACCAAACTCAGTAGAGCAATATATGCCGCATCTCTAGAAGTCTTCAAGACTACCTTGGCCGTCAAAGTAGCTTGAGGCCTTTCAACTGATCGGACTGGGATCCCACATAGTTGGGCTGCATGTCGGACAAAAAAATCACAAGCTCTTTCAAGAAAAGCTATGTTTGCTGCAATCTGCATGGCTTGAGATACACCAATTGCACCACCATAAATTGTATTAAGCATGACTTCGTTTAACACATCAATCAAGAGTTTGTCCAAATACTTTCTCAAGACATCATAATAATTAGTATGTGTTCCATAAGACAAATAATCAACAGAGCCTTTGATGAATGATCTGACAATGCGGCAGGCATCAGGCACCATTGAGGAGAATGGTGCAATATATGGGAAAGCTGGCATTATATCTGAGGTCTGGAGATGAAACAACAGAACATTATTCTCATAATCAGTATCCTTTTTCATTACCATCTGCTCATAAGTATCATTGGAGAGAGCGTTAGTAATTTGCAGCCGGCACTCTTCAAGAAGAAGTTCATGGTATTTGTCACGGCTCTTGTCCAGCACCTCAAGAACAGCGCCCACTTGGTAACCATACTGTTTAAGAGTTGCACCAAGAAGAGTGACATAATCCTTCACTAGGAGAAGATGTGTTACAGAATCCATATGAGAAAACTGTTCATCCAACACTGATGTCATCTTAGTTACAGCTGTATCCCACATTGTCTCAACCTGATCAGGTAACAAGAGCCCACCAGCAGTCCTTAGGACTCGATCCTCCACAATAAAGTACCCAGCAATTTGAGCCAAAAAGGTTTGATATGATTCAACAAATGGCTGTACTGAAGAGATTTGCAAATCTGAAGTGAGCTGCAATAAACGATTCCTATAATAATATTTACGGAACTGCTCTGGGAGGTTGAGGCAAGCGTGGATGTGATATGCCCGATAAAGTGGTGTGAGATCAAACTTCAAAATGGAATCTTCATCAATCTCCTCGACCTCTAAAGTAAATGTAAAATCTCCAAACCCTGAAAGATTTTGTTCCTCGGCCTTCCTCTGGCGATCCAGCATTTCCTCATCTCTTTGACGAGCTGATGCAGTGCGACCTATTGCTGTTTGTCCAATATCCTTCGCAGAACTCCTAATGTGAACTAACCATTCATTAAACTGACTTGTAACTTTCTTCTCAATATGCAACTTTATTATCGGAATTGTCTTCTCTATCACCATTTTGAGTGCCATAACAGGGATATTCTGCAAGTAATTCTTCTCAATCAGATCAACAGTTTTCAAAGCAGGATAAAACTGCCCTTCAGAAATGTAATTGTTACACTTCGCACAAAGATCCAACACTTGTACACAAATCTTTGTCATTTTAACAGCCCCAGTCACATTTCTTTTAATTGAATAAGATTCTAGAAGCTCCTCAAGTTTGATCAATAGGGCACTCCCAACCTCTTGCAACCTATAATTATCACTTGAGAGATCACTTTTCAGCTCTTCAGCATCAACTAAAACACCTCGAAGCTCATCAACTGCAAGAATGAACTCCTCATAGTGGGTCTTACAAAGCTCCTCAATTTCAGATTCCTTCTTCTTGACAACACTTTTGAGTTGTTGAAGAAGTACTTCAGGCCGTTCCGTTTCAAATGCATGTCTGACAATAGGTCCCAAATCATCCCCATTACCAATTAAAGTTGCAAGGACCAAGTCCTCTCCTGTATCTCCATTCTCAGCTACATTTCTCCTCTTAGTTTTTGCATCCATTATTCCAATGAATCCCTTCAATTCCAAAATCAAATAGATTAAGTCCACAACACCAATAAAGCTCTATATTGCCTATTTTGAAACAACAAGAAAATGAAAAGCATGTACCACAAAACATTTATCTACATATCCAAACGGGTACTTCTGTAACCGGTTATATGGATACCAGATATTAGTGTTAACATATTTCCATTTCCAGCATTTAATATCACCCAAAAACAAATTAAAACTCAAACAAAAAATCCATAAACAGACGGAAATAACCACATTTAAGAAGATTTCAACACACATACCATATTTAAATTTAAATAAATTCATCAATATATTTGACAAAAACAGCACAACAAAAATAGTAAAACGAATATGAAATGGGCATTTCCGAAATGGGTTTTCATAAAAACAATACATTGATCAATCAATCAATCACAAAAACTAATAAGAAGAAGATATAAATCCTCATTTCAACAAATACATTAATCATCTCTACCCAAACGAATAAAATAATCAAAACGAAACGAAACCCAGATGTAAAAAGCAATGAAAGTAAAGTTGTGATTGTGATAGAGACTTACAGGAGATTAAAGAAGTGTTAGCTCCTTGGAAGAGAGTATAAACGTAGCAAGAAAATGAGATTAATGCTAATGAGAAATTTTCAATGTTCGGTTTAATCAGAAACCTATCACTTTTAACTATGTGCTGTGTTTCTGTTGTAGTTTGCTTTGCTTTCACCCCTGGATATCTTAATTAATTTAATATTATATAAATACAATAAATCTCTCAGTGCCAGTAACATAAGTACAGAAATTGAAGGTAATATCGTCGGTTTACAATTAAAAATAAAATTCTTAAAGGCGCATGTTAAATAGGTATATTTTAGTATTTTAAATAATAAAACANCATCAATCAATCAATCACAAAAACTAATAAGAAGAAGATATAAATCCTCATTTCAACAAATACATTAATCATCTCTACCCAAACGAATAAAATAATCAAAACGAAACGAAACCCAGATGTAAAAAGCAATGAAAGTAAAGTTGTGATTGTGATAGAGACTTACAGGAGATTAAAGAAGTGTTAGCTCCTTGGAAGAGAGTATAAACGTAGCAAGAAAATGAGATTAATGCTAATGAGAAATTTTCAATGTTCGGTTTAATAAAAAACCTATCACTTTTAACTATGTGCTGTGTTTCTGTTATAGTTTGCTTTGCTTTCAACCCTGGATATCTTAATTAATTTAATATTATATAAATACAATAAATCTCTCAGTGCCAGTAACATAAGTACAGAAATTGAAGGTAATATCGTCGGTTTACAATTAAAAATAAAATTCTTAAAGGCGCATGTTAAATAGGTATATTTTAGTATTTTAAATAATAAAACAACATTTATTATTTATAGTTAACTTTCTTCCTTAAAACATAGATAGTTAATTTTTTAAAGTGCACTTGGAAATTCATTTTTTTTTAATATTTTATGCCTTAATAATAAAACAAAATATGTAAAATAAGTTATAAAATATTATTGTGAAAAAAAAGTGCGATTAATTTCTTCCAGCCTTAATATTATTTAAGTTTTTAAAATAAATAATTATATGAATTAATTAATTAATTAATTTAGCTTTGTGACAAAGCGGCTTAAACGAGGATGTTGGAAGTTGTTGTGTGTTGATTATAAAGCTTAAAAAACTAACTGCTTCAAATCAAAGCATTTAATTTAATTATAGAGAGCGGCCAAACATTCCTTCAATTTAAAGCTCAACATTGTTGCTTTCACCACTAAATTAATGTTTCCTTCCAATATTCCTTGTCTCTTTCATATGGATCTTTCTTTTTACCTCATTATTGAATTTCATCATTCTATTCAAAACTTTATATAACAATATTACATCCACTTTTATCTCTTCATTCATTTTAAACACAATTATAATTTTGATATCATCAATTTAGGTACAATTATTTTATGAAATATTAAAAAACGGATATAAGCTTCAATTTGTTCACATTATAATATTTAAAAAACTGAAAAACAAAAAAGGAGAAGTCGCTGGCTTTCCCCAGGGGAGCGGCGCAACGGACAAGGATTTTATGTTTTTTAATTTATTTTTTATATTTATAATTAAAAATAAAAATGGTTGCACTTTCTTTTATGTAACATTTTTTCTCAGTCTTTTTTTTTTTTTTTTTAATTTTAAAAGCAGTTTTTCTCGTTTTTATTTAAATTAATTTATTATTTTTAATATTAAACTTTGAAATCAAACAATTATTAATTTTTTTTAGTTTTTAAATTTAAAAATGCAGTACTAAAACCAAATAAATAACTTGGGGTATTTAAGTCTTTTTGTTGTTTTTCCATTAAATTAAAACGTCTCTAAATTGAACAAAGTTTCTATTTAGTGTCCTTAAATTGAGCAAATTGAAATTTTTGTTTGTTTTTGTTGATGCGTGATTTTGACACTAATGAAACGCACGTGTGAAATGTTGTGTTAGCCCAAAAGACACACGTGAATGGAAAGGAAAATGACAATAAATGCAGTGAGAAAGGGGTTTTAAAGTGGTTCGGATGCTAAGGAAGTAAATCCTACGTCCACTTATGTTTTTATTAATGATAAGGGTCAGGTCGTTTTAGACGACTGACTTTACACTGATGATACAAGGTATCAAAGACTGTCTATTCTAAAGAGAGAGAGAGAGTTTTGTCAGGAGTAAAATGTGCAAATCCCCTTAATGAAAGAAGAGCTTTCTTACAGTGGGATGCCTTGAGGTAATGATCACTGAATCTGTAAGTTAGTGGGATGATCCGTGCAAATCCTCCTTTTAGAGTAATTCACGTGATTTGCTGCAGGGATTGGACACGCGGGATCATCACAACTCCTGGCTGGCCTGACGTGCACCCATTATTCTGAAGGAAGCAAGCTGTGAGTGTTACCATGATCACACAACGCGGCTGCACTAGAATGCCAGTAAGCTCTTCCCGAGGTCTGACCTTTCGCACTTAACTGGGTGTCACGTCAGCCCTATTTTTCCAGGCATAACAGAAGTCCCCTAGTTTTTAAAGTTTGAGAATCAACCTTGGAAAATACAAGTCATGCCACAATTGGATGATTCCTAGAAATTCTGGTGATTCCGACCTGTCTAAAAGTAGGTCGGGATGGCACTTTTTCGAGAACGACCTCGCATGTTCATTGTTTACAGAGGACGAGCGATCTGATTTTGTTAGATGTCACCTGTTCTTTTGATATGGGTGCATTTAACGAAGTAGTCCCTGCGCTGACAGATGTACCCTGTGCGTGATAAGTGCCAGCCAGATGCATTAAATGCGTTGTACGCTGACATAGTACGCCTTATCAGGACATTAAATGCGTTGTACGTTGGAACGACGCCCCTTATCAGAGCATTAAATGTATATTTGAGACGCAATTAATGCTCTGAGAAAGAGAGATGGACGTCGTTTGAGCTTTTCAACGGGAGAGATGAAGGTTTGACTTTATCTAGTTGTGACGCTCACCCTTCCCCGTTGATGCGCGACACGTGGCCATGATCAACGGTGAGAAACCTTTGCCGCCCAAACGCTATTTCGATTCTAAGAAATCGAAACGCCGATTCATACGCTATAAAACCTCGAGTCGTTCTCAGGCAATGTCACCAGAGCCTTTTTCTTAGATAGTAAAAGATTTTCGCAAACTTGGAACCTCTGCCTTTCAAACCAACATTTTTCCAGTATTCGTAGCGGAAGCTATTCTCATACTCCGAGAGGTAAGAGCTTATCCCTGTTTTTGTTTCATTACTTTCCATGGTTGAATGGCGTCTGTCTTCCAGTAGCCTATTGGAGACGAGATGCTTAGGTCGGGTTCGAGCCATGAATGGTGGCTTGAATCATGTCGTTAGGGTTTTCTTTGGAATTTAGGGAGTTTGTTTCCTCCCACATCATCGTATGAAATAGCGTACGGCGGCTAAATGACCTTTCTACTTGTCACTTTTGCAAACCAGCAAAATGGACCCCTCAACAACCAGATCCGAATAGGGAACCAGTTCATCCCAACAGGGTGCTCCAAGCATCCCTATCGAGGTCTTCTCGGTACTTACCGGGGATGAGCTTGGGAGGGTAATAAAACAGTACGGTATTAAGGTGGATGCTTTCCTCGACGTGGCATACTCATCGCGATACCCGCTAAGTGGTCTGGCCGCGGTCTTCGAAGAGATCATCAAGGGTGGGGGACTGATCCCGTTCCACCCTTTTATCAGGTCGCTTTTGGACCACTTCAAAGTCATGCCAATGCAGCTGACTCTGAACGCGTATGTCATTACCGTTGCAATGTACATCGCGTGCCACGAGAACGGGTTGGGCAAGCTGACCGTGATGGAGGTCGGCTTCTCGTATTTTTTGAAAAAGAGCAAGGACAAGGACTTTTACTACTTGTCTAGGCGACCTACTATCGCCGACAGGATACATAGTTACCTGAGCAACGCGGGGGCCTATGAAACGAAGTTTTTCTTCTTTCATTATGACGGCCATTGCCGCTTCCAGGATCCGAGTAGGCCTTTTTTTTTTTTTTTTTTTGACAAATTCATTACGCTCGAAATGTGCTTTTTCTAACGACATGGTTCCTTTCTGACAGTGAACAAGACGACCGACCTCAGGCTGCTCTTCGATAGAAGTAGGATTGTGTATTTTGGCAACCTACTCGAGGACAAGCGTGACGCGAAGAAACTCGTGATGACCGCGAAGTTGCGGAAATATGGTTTCTTCAACGCAAACGCGTCGTTAGAGCCCCCATTGAGTAAGTCCTGCTAACTGGTCCTTTCCTGGTCGTGAAATGAGATATATGTGCTAATGATGCTTTGCATGCAGCGACCATGCCTCCAAAGGAGTCAGAGCAGTCGCGACGAAGGCCGCTCACTTTCCCTCGGACAAGAAAAGCCAAAACGGCCAAAGCTGCTTCGACCGTTCCACCGACTAAAGGCGCAACATCGGGCCCACTGGCGTGACCTTCTAGAACTTCTTAGGTGCAACCATCAGAGGATGTACCAATATGAACCGTGAAGGTCTCCCAGCCGTCGCCTGCTCGCCTGAGGCTGAAGACAACGGCCCAGCGAAAGAAGAGGAAACAGATTCAGGTCGAAGAGTCAAAGATCGAATCTGAGAGCGATCAATCAAAGAGGTCGCGACCGAACATAAGTAGGTCAGGTAAGAAACCTATGGACGATACGATCACCGCTGAGGCCACGAAGAAGGATACTCCAGTGTTGGACCCGCTGGGGAACCTGCCGGAGTACCTACAGCCGATGGTCTACACCTTATTGGAATGCGGACTCTCAGAATCATTCGAACAGTTCACCGGTTCCAGCTAACTCTATATTTCTTTGTTTGCAAGCTCTTCTTTCCATGCGAATGTCCATAGAGAAAGTTCAACTGGGAGCCGCAAAGGGAGGTATTGCTCTCAAGGAAGAGAACGCAGCGCTCAAGCGAAGCCTGGAAGCCGTCGAAACAGAGAGAAACCTATCTTCTGAGTCGAAGAGTAGGTACCTGAATGAAAGAGTCGCGGCTCTTAGTACGGTGGACTTCCAAAAAATGCAGCTCAAGAAGTATGGAGAGGAAATAAAGGAGCTACAAAGGACCATAGCCAGACTCTCCAAGGAGGCTGGGGAGAAGGACCAGGAGCTTAGAGCGACCTCTCTGCAAGCCTCGCGAACAAAACAAGAGAGGG